AAGGACCCATAAGAAAGTTAATTTAACATAATACCTGCTTGAAAACCAAAATCAGTTGTCACAGAAAAGCACCACTCTTGAAATCAAGTATAATAATCACCCTGCCTGAAAAACATCAATCACATTAAAAAAAAACCAACTAAATACTCAATGAGATTTGAATATGCAATGCCTGGAAATTTTGCTTTCAACCTGATTGAAAGAAATTTCTACTAGTAGGCAGGCACTCAGTTATTCTACCTGATATAGTTGTGATTTTCTCATCCTATCATACACTCAAAGCTAGCAGGGACCAGGTCTCATACTATTTTTAATCTAGTTACAGTGCCCAACACAAGTGCCTCTTCTAAAGGGCTTCAAAAAGTTTGTGGGAATACCCTAACTTTCAACTCCATTTTCCTATGAATATTTTAAGCCTCTAGTATATGAAAAGGTACAGATTATCTGTCAAATGAACAAAGAAAAGCTATAACATTTTTCTTTTCACATTAGCAAACCAACCAACCAACCAAACAACCAATAAAATGGAAAACATACACTACAATGGCCTGGAGCAATACAAAAATACATTTTGGACTAATGTTTCATTTGGGTTTATTTCCAATGGCTTCAAAAAGATCTGGAAAAATGAAATTAAGATAATAGAATTTCCCACAAACTTTTAGAAGCCCAGGTAGTAGAAACTGGGCTATCTTAACTGGGGCTCAAATGTTGTAGGCATCTAGTAATTCCCACCTTGATTTTTACTGATTAATAAACAAGATGCTTTCATTTTACTCAGAAAAATACAAAACAAAACAAAAAAAATCCCAGAGATTGTCAGTAGGATACGCTTAAAAAATAAGAGAAAATATTCAAACACAGGATTTTGGTCATCCATACTCTCATTTGATCTTCCCGGATAGATATTCATTGCACAGTGCATTTGTGCTCATTTAATAGGAACACAGTGTATTGAGTACCCGGAAGTTTAAATAAAGTTTGATGTTTAAGTATACATCTAGTTTAAGTATATATATTCAGTTCATCCCTGAATACAATGAAAGCTGTCAGAGCAGGGACTGCCTTGCTTTTCTGCTTCTGACAGTCTTACATTTTTCTCTTAGTGGAAAACTGCTGTTTTCTCCAGTTGTTTCAAAGTCTGGCTTTCACAGGTTTTGCTATCTATGGACCGAGGGTATGTGTTATCTATTACATGTGATCTTGAAAGTGGCCTCTAAGAAACTCACTACTCATACCAAGCTGGGGGGGGGGGGGGGGGGGGGGGGGGGGGGGGGGAGAGGGAGGAAGAGGGAACGATCACAATGATCGGCACATAACATAATCCCCTCCCCCACCCAGGGGACAAACAACATAAATCTTGGGGGAAGTGAGATAGCAGTTGGTGTAAGATATGAAAATAATAATTTATAATTATCAAGGGGTCACAAGAGTGGCAGGGGAAGGGAAAAAAAAGGAGCCGATATGGCTCAATAGAGACTACATGTTTAGAAAATGATGGCAATATGCTTGATATAATTGATGTATTGTTATAAGAACTGTTAAGGGCCCCAATAAGATTATCTTTTAATAATAAAAAAATTATTTCACTACTCAGAATATGGATAGAACTAATACAGCTAATTAGCTGTCTAAACATTCATCACAAACTCCTTTTGTCTACTTTATGGGTTAATATCTGAAGATGGATGCAATGTTTTCTAAAATATCTTATCCTATAATTTCATTATGATCACATTTAAAATAATTTAATGGTCAGAGCAGGATCATTTAATGGTCAGAGTAGGCTAATTCAATACTAAAAATACATGGTACAACATTTACACATTTTAGATCAGCCTACACATCACAGGCTTACTGTTATCAGATAAGCCACCTACCTACATAAAGACAGACTCCACATTGATTTAGAAAGATTCTGGCCAGCAAGGACGCTGGTGGCTCGCCCCTCCCACTGGGGCTGTGTGAGAGGAAAGATCTGATAGTCTGCTCCCTTAAAGATTACAGTGTATATGACCACGTTGTCACGTAACAGCACTCAGCAGCCTAACAGTTATAGAGGATTGGACATAAGACAGTAGGCTGATGTCAGAGCCTAGATATTAAGGAGAAAATGAAAAGACCTTCAGTTTCAGAAAATGATCTTACAGAATAGAAAAAATCCGGTACAAATTCAGTTTCTTTTTCATATAAGATTTATACAATATGTACCTTCAAAAAGAAGCTAAATCTCATAATTGAAGTTAGATTACAGAAATCTCCTTATGATAATTATATACAAAAGAATTTTGTAAAAAAAAAACACCCTTGAAATTGTGTGACAGTGGGCTTGAAAATGGAGTGTCGATTTTAGCTTACTTGTATGAATAAGGGTGACTGACTTTGCACTCACTCTCTGGCAGTGAGTACCACGACCAACAAACATTTATTTCTACTTGTCTCTAAAGTGCTGCTTTAGAAGTTTAAATGGGCATCTTCCTTTTTTAATATTAAAATGCTTTTACATTCAAGCATTTCGTCTTGACACTGAACGAAGAGAAACCCTGGTGGAACAGTGGTTAAAATGCTCTGTTGCTAAGGGGCTCGAGCCAATGAGGTGTTCTGCAGAAGAGATGTGGCAGTCTGCTGAGACATGCGGCAGCAGTTCTATTCTGCCCTATTTAATTGCTATGAGCTGGAACTGACAGTAAGTAAGGGGTACAGTTTTGGCAAGATAGATGTTGACCATCCTAGATAAAGATTTAGAGATATCAAAAATTACCTCCACACTGATGTCTTCCCTTGACTACTGTTCCCCCAAATATTTTCTATATGTAAAGCTTGTAATTTAAATAAAAAACCCCAAACATACTTTTTTATATGGAGACTTTATACTCATTCCCCCCGCAAACCAAGCATTCACTGAGTCGTTTCTGATTCATACCAACCCTATTCAGGGTTTCTGAGGCTTTGAATCTTTATGAGAGGAGACGGAGGTCTTTCTCCTATAAAGCAGTTGGTGAGCATGAACCACCACTGTGTGGTTAGTGGGTAGTCTAATGCTCACCCAACAGCATCATGAAGAGCAAACATAACGGGGGGTGGGGTGGTGTTTCTAAAATAAATTAATTTCAATTGTATTTATAATTCTTTGTTTTTTAAAGTAATTTTAAAAATTAATCATTTTATTGGGGGGCTCTTACAAATCTATGACAATCCATCATTCAATTGTATTAAGCACACTTGTACATGTTGCCATCAACATTTCCAAAACATGTTCATTCTACTTGAGCCCTTGAATCAGCTCCTCTTCCCCCCACCTCCCATATGATATAATTCTTAGGAACATTTTTTAGATGTTTCAAACATGGGGGGAAAAAATAGATTGCTTGAGTCAGTTTTTCAAAAGGTTTAAGCTGTTTAAAATCTTTTTTTAAAGGTGTCATTATTAAGTACTAGTACTACACTTGAAATTTTTTCACAAAAACAGGACACATCTTTCTTGGATAAACATTAAAGTGCAAGTAGTCTTTTTTATGTGACAAATATAGTTACGCTCAGTCGTTCTATGGTTGAGAAATAACACGACTACAAACTTTGCTTAGAATGTTCTGTATCTGAAAAAGGATAGGACTAATATTAAATAGCTAGAAAGTCAGTTCTTTAACCAGTGTGGTTATTAACACGTAAATAAACATGGCAAATAAAATGTTTTCTTCAGTTTTACAACTCAGTACTACTATAAGGACCGAGCTTAATTTACATAGGCAGCATAGAGAGTGACTGAGACTTAAAAATCACACTTCTCTGGGGCAGAGATTTAGATTAGATAAGATTCAGGGCCAGGTCAGCTGTCTTGTTTAACTATTATATTGATCAGTAATCAGTTTTCAATGGCTGATTTTTCAGATGTAAATTACCAGTCCTTTCTTCTGAGTTACCTCTGGATGGGCCCAAACTCTAGTGTACCAGTCAACAGCTGAGCATGTTAACTATTTGTACCACCCAAGGACTTATGATAATTTTTGCAACTATTTGCACATATAAGGAATAGACTGTGCATAGGAAACTAACATGCAAAGTAGTTGTGTAGTTTGTAAACACCCCTACCACCATATTGTACATGTGAATTTCACATACAGGGTTGTTGTCTTTAAAATCCATTTATATCTGTAAATAACAAAGAAGCACTGTATTAATATTTGAAAATACACACTGTATAAAAATGACAAGATAGTTACCAGGGGTTGGAGGGAGGGCAAGTCACAGGCTAGAAAACAGACAAAAACAAAACAACCTGACAGAAGTATAACTAGAATAGAATACATCACGAGCAATTTATGTTCATTTTAAACTCATCACCATAATTTCCCAAGGAATTTCATTATCAAAGCCCTCAGAATAATGATTTATGATGAATTTGTCCACACTTTCAGGCAGTGCAATCAAACCTTAGTAGGAATTTCATTGTGACACCATGGATCTCTGATTGCTAAGAATTTGATTAAGCTACAGAGAAAATTTAATGAAATTTAATACATATTGATTCAGGAACTACTTTTCTATATAACATTACCCACACTGTTTTACGGAGGTTGAAAATTAGTGCTTTCAAACTCCCAGTAGTAGTTATTACCTTATAAGCTTCTGCAATAAGGACTACGAGAACCCTATACGCCTGTGCCTCTGACACCTAACTAGAACAGGTAGCTAAAATCCTAAAGCTAAAAATATTAATACAGAAAAACCTTTAAAAAAAGGGTCCATATTTAGATTTTAATGTATGACGGTCTTTATTTACAACTTTATTGGCAAAAAGAGGAACAAATTTCAGTTTAACACAAGATATCACAACTGATCTTATCAGATCAAAGGTCCATCTCAAATGTTCATCTAATTGTCCAGAGAGGACACGACACTGACTCTGCATACGCAATTCCCTTTATGAAGTACAGTGCTATTTTAGGCAGCCTCTTTTATGATATAAATATCAAGGAAATGAAATCACTCAACAACGGCACTAAAGGAAAGATGTTTTATATTTAGATTTCTCTTGTTCCTGGTAACGCATGCCCAATGAAAAACAAAAGTTGGAAAAGCAGTTACTCTTCCTACTTGGGTGGACAGTTATAACCATCAATCATTTTCTGGATTGACCATTACATTTCAATTTATCACAAACTACTCTGAACTTACTATGAGTTGTAGTCAAAGTCAGGAGAGAAGACGTAAGGAGAACATTCCTGTTTTTGGAGAGGGTTAGCCCTCCACAACCAGTATGGTAAATAAACATTCTGTTGAAGAATTCTAGGTGGAAAAATTAATGTAGTCAATTTGAACTCATGCTGAGAAGATTTCATTTGTTCATGAACTTGTTTGGTGTCATTCATCTAAATCAAGTGTGTTTAATTCTTCTTCTAGTTCATCTAAATCTTCCCCAGTGAAAAGATTTTCATCCACAGGAACAGCATCAATAGCTCCATTTTCCTGTGTCTCTCCTTCGTTATCCTCGTCCAAGTCACTTCTTTCCCCATTTTCTGCTCTGCCTCCAGAAGCTTCACTTAATTTGTTTTCTGAAAATAAAAATAGAAGTCAGTAAGGCCTAAAAACAGAAAACATATTTCACTAGTTAGTGGACAGTCACAGATTGGTGTTAATACCCGTTTTTTTCTTTTCTATTAAAAAACATTTCCTGGGATTAATCAGCAAAACTGATCTTTTCTGAGCTTGTTTGTAGCAATTACTCATAACCAATTATGAAATATTACAGCCATGTGAGTAATGGTTTATATGTTTCCTGAGGGTAAGATATGTTCTATACTCCTGATACAACTAGCCACGCCAACTCCACACTGTATTTCATTTAAATAATTTTCTAAAAAAGTGTATGAAGCTTAAACTATTCAGGTTTTGTTTTCACAAGCTAGTTATATCATACTAGTGTAATACAGTAAATGGTTACAAATCCAGACAGTTCACAATATGTCTTCAATTGTGAAAAATAAACTCAGGATTAATAGTTACTTTTCCATACAGAAAATAGTGTGCTGGGGAAATGTTACCTTTCCTTGTTCAAAGACATCAATGTTTAAATACAGAAACATTTTAATAGTCCAATTTGGATTATAATTATTTCAGACATCTTTGGTGAGTCTTGTCGTTTATAACTTCTAAAGGATTTACATTTTTGCAATGATGGCACCACTCTTACTTCTAAGTGGAGCATATCATTCTGCCTACTGGTGTTAAGTAGTCGTATGAGAGCATTCTCAGTTCTCAGGGTTAGCCTGCTTCAATGGTTGACCAGTTTTGAAAATGAGGAAAATATTATACTCACCATCCTTTTCTGAAGTATATGTGCTGAATCTTTCAAGACTTGCTACGGTAATACCTGTTTCATCTACATCTCTTGGAATGTACAAGCTTAAATCTATGTCATTTACATTCACAGAATCATCAACCTTTAATGTAAAGAAAAGAAAGTTGTTATAAAGAATTAATTTCCATCAATCACTTGCCTTTCATCCCTGACATTTATTTAATGAAAATTATTACTAAATGAAAATATTAATAAAATTATTGTCTTCCTAGATACATGAAAATTCACAGTAACATATCGAAGCTTCTTTCTGTCATTGCACGTTTTTACATGCTGAGTGGAAGCCTATAGATTAAGTAGTATCCTATGGTTGGAGTTAGAACTTGAACTGAAACAGTCTGAGCCTCTTAACCATGTTACTTTATGGTTTCATAATTAACATGAAAATGAGGCAATGCTTCCTCTTACCTCATCACCACCTATACCCTGGGTGTAACGGGTGTCATCTGCTTCTTCATCATCATCATCAACAAGTTCAGGACGAAATTCAAACACCTCACGACCACTGATCTATTTAGGCAAAAATGTAGCAACTCAGTACAAAATTCAAGCATTTCTTGGTCACTGAGTTGAGACAGACATGTGCTTAAATAAGGACAGGATTTTGCAAAACATGGAAATTAGAAAGCAAAAAAAAATCTGTTCAGATGAGTGAGGAACATACATACCACTAGCGCTTTCCCTGCTTTGAAGTCTGCTTTTCTTCGTTCCATATCTTGCTCAAGTTTATCAATCTTTTCTTGTCTTTTCCTTTTTTTCCATGCAAGAAAAGATTCTAGGGTGATTTTGGTAACATTTGGACCTAGGGCAGAAC